CTTAACTTCACTTTATGTCAAACTGTTTGCTCCTAGAAAAGCTTGTTCATTGTGTTCAGTCATTAAGGCTATCTCAGAAAGCTGAAGTATGCATTTTGTAACGAATTTATTTTTATGTATTTATTTTTAATTTGAACGTTGTTTAGATTAAATTTGTATTTAAAAATATGCGAAACTTACAGTGTCAGGTATATATTGCGTATAACGAATTTGTTATATATTTATTTTAATGACAACCTTTGTTTAGAATGAGTTTATATTTAAAAACGTGCCTAGCTTACAGTGTTAGTTACGTATGGCGAAATTCCCGCCAATTCTCCAAGATTGTAGAATATTCGTGAACGCAAGAATCGACAGTATATCCACTTCCGTAACCGGTTAAATATAGTTGAGTATTGTTGTCCGAACTTTCGAGAAAAATATTTATCGCACCTATAAAACAGGCAAGGCGACGCGCCAAAAAAGAGAAAGAGCTTATAAGTCTGCAAGGAACCTGTTATAACCATGTATGTTATAAACCGTGATTTTGCTAACCCTTATCAACCGGAAAATATACGGTATTTGACCAGGAACAGTTATAAATTTTGAACGTCAGTGGATTCTCATCGGATGTTAGGATTTTTCCGAAAGTATTACTGAATTCTCATCGGACATTAGTGGTTTTATGAAAATATTATCTTACTTCGAGGGTCCAACAATTCAGTGTTCAATTGTACGTACATCGACTTCAAACTAGCTCACTGGATATCAAGGAGACTCTGAACTAGAAAGAAGAGTCTATGTTGTTTATAAAACTTTGTTTGGGGTAATTATTCGTAATAATTGTTGTTGTAAATTGTACTGTTGTATATATATTCAAAGAGCGGATTAAATGTAACTTGTAATGAAAACAGAAAAAAACAGTTTTCATGAATTGATCGACCGAGTTTCGAGTAAAGAGGAAAATATGTTGCTTAATGTCTTTTATCTATTTTATCTATAATACGTATCGCTACCTAGTGAATCACTTGAAGAAAAGTCAAGCTTTAACTTCTATTCTCCTGTGAAAAATGGAGTCTGGCTATTTCGTTGAGTAAATTGTTACGTATTGAGAATCTAAAATAGTCCGAAGCCGTTATTTTAGTTAATTTACGATATTTGCCAACAAGATTGACACACACCGTCTTCGTTTTTCACACAAATACGTTTTGTTTATCAATTATCAGAGAATTTTACATAGAACAGCACCTCTACAAATTCACCACACGTCACTGGTGAATAAAAGTTATCACTGTGAAACATTCTTCTGCAGTGGTAAAAACATTGAAGAATCAAGATCTATTACCCGGAACGACTGTTTACGATATTAAAGTGGTGATAAACTTAATGATTGAAACTGTTATTAAGCAAAGCATTACTTGGATTCACCGGATTATGCAGTTTATCGCCGAGAATACTAGTTTTAAGATAAGGAGAAACAATGATACCAAACACAAATTAAGCAAAACTGAACATGAGAGTAATGTTTAATCAAGATTGATACGAAACTTTTTTTGTGAAATAATCAAAAATATAACAAATAAATCAATAAATGAGGTTTAATTTTGAAGCTGTGTGTCGAATTTGCATTTAAACAGAAACACACTCATGTTCTTAAAAACATAAAATTTCACTGAATAATTAAGATTATAGATTTCAAAAATAAACACATTTCTTAACAAACATCACCTCGTGAGTGAAACCAGGGTATTGCGAATTAAACATATAATTGTTAGGAACTTAACCTCCGTAAATAAAAGTATGTTAGTTCAAAATTAAACATGTAATTATTAAGGAACACCAACCCCATTCGTGAGTGAAACCAGGGTGTTTTAAAATTAAACATAACTATTGAGACACTTCATCTCCGTGTGTGAAAGTATGGTATTTTAAGAATAAATAATTATGAATAAACATTAAGCCCCACCCTCATCCCATCCCACACCCCATCTGTGAATGAAACCAGGGCATTAAAACTCCAAAAGCTCTTAAATACAAGTTTTTAAACTCGAGTTAAGCCTTTAAGTCTAGATGACATCTAGATACCATACCTTCTAAGTCTCGAGGTTTCAAACACAACTAAAGAAGTATCTCAAACGTATCTCTATTCATACCTAAAGTAGATCTCCGAATCCCTTTGCTTTAAGTAGATCTTTTGAAACATCTAAAGTGCTTGTTGTCTATACATACCCAAAGTTAATCACAAGAAACATCTAATGTACATATCCCGTCACACCTAAGGTAGATCTCCAAACTACCCAAAGTAGGTCTACAAATAGGGTTAAATCTCCAGACACATTTAAGGTGGATCTATAAACACCCCTAAAGTAGCTTTCTAGATACCGGATTTAAGATAGATGTGGTGGCTAGAGTAGAGATTCAGATAAAGGAAATCACGAAGTGCACTCGAAACAGATATTTTGACACACCTAAAGTAGGTGAATAAAATATCATGCCAACAGTAAAGATCCAGACAGAGTGTTTATAGTTATACTAGTGCCAGACACCGTGCCTATAATAGAACCCCATATGGCATACTAGAGTAGAACTCCAGACACAGTATCTAGAATATATTGTGAAAAGAGCTTCAAATATCGTGGCAAAGTAGATTGCCAAGCACTCCTGAAGTAGTTCTCCAGACACATCAACAGATGTTTTGATAATGAAAGAAACAATCAGTTCTCTGGACATAGTGACTGGACTAGATCTCCAGAAATCATCTCTGAACAGATGTTTTAATACATCTAAGGTATATCTCTAGATACAGTTAAAATACGTCTTTAGAGACATATAAATTACATATGCAAAGTGATGCGAAATACGTGTTTAAAACAAAAAGCACAAAAAAGAAATAAATACAAGCGGCCAAACATCAACAAATAAATACAGCTTTGTCGTCTGACTAGCAGGAAATCTAAGAAATTGACCTTAAGACATTAGTGAGCAACTTACCATCTTCTAGAGTTTTGACCTCAACTTCGTCCGAACGAGGTCCGACGCCCTCTGTGTTGAACGCCTGAACAGATACAAGATACACAGTCGACCTCTGGAGGTTGGTTAGATGAATTTCCTCTTCTGTATTTAAGTCGGTGATGTCAATTTTCTTGTACCGATACAAGTTGTCAGCTCCCACTGGTCGGTAACCGACGTAATAACCTCGGATTTTCCCGTTCCAATCCTTATGTTCTGGTGGCTGAACAACAACAACACGATAAAAGCAGTGTTTGTGTGATTTATTGGATGATGTATATCTATTTCAGGCATGAGTCAACAACATGACCATTACTTAGGAGACGTATGCTCTCCTAGCACAAAAACAATACTTTCAACAACAGTTATTGATTTTAACAAGCACTTGGTTATAAAAGTTGTATGTACTTCCACACATTAAACAGAACCACATCGAAATCGTTTCATTTTTTCCATTTGCTTCTTCTCTTTATGTTGTTTATATATATAGAAGAAGAAAAAGACAGAAACTATCAATTTAAACAGGTATATTTTTGAACTTAAGCTTTCTTTAGCTACTTAGGTGTATACTTTGAAGACCTAAGATATCTTCTGTATGAAAATGAAGCTTACCTTCCATGACACCTTCACAGAGTTTGGACCTGTTGCTGCACCTTTTACGGCCTCTGGTGGTCCACTTGGTGCTAGAGAAAATAATGTATTCTATTTCTAAGCTGATACTCAGTTTAGTAAGAAGTTGAACGGCTATCTTAGAACCCGGCATAATATCAAACTTAGCACATTTGGAGCTAAAACAAAATAAAAATGAAATTATTATAGAAGGGTTAAGGACAACAAAACTCTCAAATGTAAAACGTTTTTACACACGCCTTTATCACTATATCTTATCATTTACAAATAAATAATGAAAAGTCTTATTACGGGAGAAATGGAAGTGTTCTTTTTCACTTTTGATAGAAAATATCGAACATATAATCGACAAACGATACACTATTTTTCAGATTCCCCTAAAACAAATACCAAACGTATTATCGACAAGTGAAACATCTAGAATTACCATTTGAAAGGGTACTGAACGCATCATCCACCATTCTTTTTTGTTGTTGTTGTTAAGCACAAAGTTACACAGTGGGCTATTTGTGTTCTGCCCACCAAGGGTATTGAGATCCTAATTTTTATGAAACTTGCCGCTGAGCCACAGGTGGGCTCTACGTATGACACATTATCCTTGAAAATTACTCAGAACGAATATCAAACGTATCATTGACAAACGAAACGTCATCTTTGGGAATCGGTCAGAAAGAATATCAGACATAACATCGGCAAATAAAAAGTCACCTTTGAAGGTCAACAAGTGTTTCGATTAAATTGTTTCTACCTTAATTATATTGTTTTCACTATATGCTTTAAATACACACCATGAGATTTATAATACTCCGTTACAAGAATAAAGTAATTTTTCTTCAGAACACCTTAAGAAAAAAATGGGTATCCTTCATCGCAAGGGAGCTAAGAAAGGAAATAGGACTAAAAGCTTGGAAAATAGTGCATTTAGGGCCAAGGATGAGCTGGGTTTTAAGTTGAGCAACCGGTTCCAAGCACTTGCTAATGACGAGAGGGAGCAGGTAAGGGAAACAGATGGGATCACAAGGGATGATAGTGTAAAGGATATGGAAGTTATATTTGTAGGTAACTCTCTAGTTAGACATGTAAATAGAATAGTATGTGGAGTAAATAGGAGCAAAAGAATACGCTTATGCTATCCAGGAGCATAACTGATAGAATCAGTGAGTAGAATGTTAAATTACATAATTATGTGCTGCCTACAATCATATAAAAATGGATTCACCTAATTATGTCGTAAAAATCAACGTTGGTTTGCTCTGGAAATAACAACGACGTTACGATCACATAACAAAATCTCTGGTTTTTAATGATTATACAGCTAGAAAACTAAATAAAGTAAAGTCACCAAAGTATTCCTAAAACTAAACATGATTGAAACTAAAGGTTATTATTCTAATGAAACTTACGTATCAGCTCTTTAAAAGAGTATCATCTGAATTACCTTCTTCAGCTGTCGTGAACTCCACAAAGTTGCTGACATTGCTCCAACCGAAACCGTTTTGAGCTCTAATACTTGCTCTATAGAGGGTAGCAGGTTGTAGTCTACGAATAACAGTTGTCGTCACTGTTCCGTCTACTGAAACGTTTAAGTTAGAGTTTTCTTGTCCTAATGCAACAACATGACAAATTTTGAAAATTAAGCAAGGAAAGCTCAAATGAAAGAGGCATAAACATTTTTCTTTCAATACCTCACTAATCTTAACGTTTTATTTAATGCTAACTTTAACAGAATATCAAGTGCAAAGTTCGGACAATTACAAAGTCACTTTATATTTATTGTATAGAAGATTCTGATTCATGCTTAGTTTAAGGTGTGCACGTGACAAAAAAAAGCTGAAATACAGACTAAAGCAGATCGACGTTTTAATCGTTTAGATTATATATAAGTATAAACTGGAATGACAAATTAGCACAAGTAACTATCTTATAAAGTAATTTATGAAAACTAATTTCTTTTAAACTTACCATCATCAATTCTGTAGTATGTAATTAGATACCGTAAGATGGCACTGTTCCCGTTAAACGGCTCAGTCCACGTCAAAGAGGACGTCCTTGCGGAAATATTGGTCACTGTGATATTGAGAGGAGGACCCGGTGCCTCTAGTAAAATACTATATTGACTGTCATTCTAGGAATGGACTGTAAACTGATTTTTATTTTCTATTAATTTGTGATACAAGTGAATTTTGTCCTTCTTAATAGAAATTTACACTACGACGAAACACGTATAGAATTTCAGAATTAGAAAAAAAGTTGGTAGTCAATCGACTCAATGGACAGAACGGGGTCACAAATACAAACAAAAGCATCAGAGAACTACTAACCTTACCTTTTAAAGATTGAACAATTCGTTTCTAGAAAACTACTGAAACAAAGGCAAAAAATAAAAACATGGTGAACATAATTTACAAAATGTAAAATGAGATATTTCGTGCGTTCTGTAAATTAGGATTATTGAGCCGGTTAGATTTGACTGTTAATATATTTATTGAGAAAGGCACTCAAACATACTGGATGTTAACAAAATAACGCAGTAAGACGGAATTTACGAATACCAGTAAAGGAAGCAGGGGGTTTAGTAATAATAACACCGTAAGTACACAGTTTGGGAATAATAACATAGAACGTAGGTATTTAGGGATAATAACAGTGTAAGGAGAAAGCTTTAGTATTAACATGTTAGAAGTTAAATCATTACTCTATACTTATTTCAAGTCGGAACTTTGTGTGCAAACAGCATTTCAGATCTGTGTTTTGTCTATCACAGCATTTATTGTTCAAAATATTCGATACTGTTAACAGAGGAATCTTTAAGAGTTTACTGTCTAACAAAATGTTTTAGAAATACAGTAAAAATAAATTCTGAGGATCTGAACAGTGCAGTTAGACACTTTCACTAAAAACCTTGCAAGTTTTCCCCTTATACTAGGCCTACCTTGAATCAGTAGTTGCAGCCTTGTTTCGTCCTTTCCGTAGTTATTAATAGCACTGCACACATAAACCCCAGAGTCTTCCCGAACTGCTTGTTTAATTATAAGCATCGACTCATGTGACGAACTCTGGCTTTCTATTGTTTTTAACCTTCACCAAAGATAAAAGATTTGAACAAAATGACTCTCCGTATGCGGAAATACGATAGTGTTGTTAGACGTTTTTGGTAATGAAATATTACTTTGCAAGGTAAAGTAGTTTTTTCACAAATTACGAAAAATGTTCTAAAAAATATACATTTTATTTAATATTTTGTAAAATTCTACAGTTTTAAGGCAACAGTTTTTATCTACCAAATTCAAGACTTCAGCAAATGTAGACTGGTCTTAACGAATCTTCTATTGTTTATATTAGTACTAGCGTATAACCCGTCACATTTCATAGCTAACTGATATAAATATATTTTGCGAAATCAAACTTAACCCACAATGAGGCAGAACACTGCAGTCGAGGCAGTCAAATATCGGTAAATTCTTTTTTGAGCCAATCAAAATTAAGATCATTCATGAAATGAATTCGTGGCGAATTCATAGAATAATTATTGGTAAAAATCAATTATATTAACAACATATAACATTTAGAAAAGCCAGTGCGTTTTGATAAAACTACGTTCCAACGATGGTTTTTATGTCATGTTGCTTAGCAACAGAAGTACAACCTAATTGTGTTGTTTGTCTATGTGCTAAAAATATAAAATGAAATGTATAGACAACAAAACTGGAAAAATATTTGTTGATTTCTTAATTTAGAGTATCGGTGGATTAAAGAGGTTTGGCTGTTGTTGTTGTTTTTTATCAAAAACGTTGGTGATATAACAGAAAATATCTTAATTCAGAAACGACTCAAATTTAAAATTGAATCGATATTTTTACTTTAATGGTAAATTTTATGCACTTGGCTCTAGGCTAGGTGACTCCACATTACGTCATTACTTTAGGCTTATTATCCCAACACTCACTACACGTATAAGGTTTCATAGCACCCTCTCTCAAGGCCCCCTTGCACCCCCGTAATGGGCAGACAATAATCGAACTAGTCTATCTGGATAAATGCATTTTGGCTTTTAATTTTAAGACTCTTCCTATTTCGAGAAATTAAGTGTGACGTGACACACACTGACTTTTATGTAGGTTAGGTTTCGACTGTTTGTTATAGCGCTTAGGACGTTTTAATGAAAGTTTCACCGACCAATCTTTTACAAGGCTTACAGTTCAATATTGAACAAATTGTTGGAAGACTAAGATATTTTATATAACACAATGTTTTATTGAAATGATTGCGGTTAAATTATTAGTCGAAGAATCTGAAACGAGATGACTAGAGTTCTCCTAATACACATGTTGAAATAGTAAAACAGTTTAAATCGGAAAACACCACAGGGGACATTTTATCAGAAGTTGACTCGGGTTTCACCGAATAACAATAATAAGCAGTTGATTAGGAATCAGCTCTTCTCTTTGATGAACTTGAACATTTTCAACAAACTTATAAATGGAACTTTTAACTGTGAATAAAGTTTTTGTTGTTGTTTCG